GGACATGTCTGTCAGTGTGAAGAACGTACTAAGTCCATCCCCTTCATATCTCTCATCCCCTTCTTGCTATTCAACCAACGACCAGTTTATAATCTTGTTACATTATGCTGCGATAGGCTTGAACGCGTTCATCACTCAGACTTTACATGGGACTGTAAACGACACATGTGTTAATGTGTATGCCCTTCGCACCGTATCGGGTTTGAGCTTACAGCTCCCAGGGCAGGTAGTAGGAGAGACTGGAGCGGAAGGAAAGCCTTAGCCCGTCCAGCAGACAAGGGTCGCGCCTATGGCTGGGGGCGACCCCTAGAGCGATGCCTGAGAACCCAAGCCACACCCTGCCGCAGCGAGCGGAGGCGGTCGCATTGGTAGCACTGACGGGGGGGGGGGGGGGGTGGAGGGGGTCGTCGGCATATAGCCGTGATAGTGAAAACGTGAACCGGGCCTATTTTTTAAAACGGGCGAACGCTCCCCACGATCAAGCTGGGTACTAGATGGTAGGACGACGTCCCGCGTCTGGGGGGGGGGGGGGGGAGACAAGCCTGGTGAGAGGCCACGGAGGAGAAGCGACCAACATGTAGTGATCAAACCAACGTCTTGGTGAGGCTCCCAAGCCCACACATTTGCCAGCTATTTGGAGTTCGCTACCGAGACCTGGTTGGCTAATGAGAGTCCAGCTCCTGAGCCGGTATTCCGTGTAAATTGAGGGTTTGCTGGAAACTAATGTAAATAAAAGATTGCTCAGCCAAATTCGGTGATTTAAAAGATAAAAACATGTCTGATTGGGGGGGGGGGGGCGCACTGTGCAGGTGAAGTAGAGTTGGGTAGGTGTAGAGTTCACTTGTGACATCAGGTTGGGGCAAGTGAAGTAGAGTTCATTTGTTTCTGTGACCTCGGCATATGAAGGGATAGTGTGGTCAGCACTATGCCCAACCGCCTTTACTTTTCCTAACATGAGTTAGGTACCCATCAGAGTTGTGTGGACTCAGGGACGGTCTACTGACTTGAACCCGGATTCGAACTCGAGACTTACGGGTTAGCAGTCCAGTTCTCTACCGCTAGACCACTCCGTCCCATACACTTACAAGCGAATTAGTCCTTATCTTCAACAACTAAAAACAAACATACACTCCAGCAGGCACACAGTTTACAGATTATGATATTTCATGATCAAATTTTATGAAAGTTGTTATTCGAGATAACATGTCTACCAAACTATACAGTGGCGGAACTAGAAAAGAAGGGCTACCCCAAATACATGTAATATATTAGTAGCTGGTTCCGTAAAATATAGATTAATCTATTTCCTAATTTAGTAATATTTCATTGCAAAGTATAACCATCCTGAGACAACAAACTATACAAAAATATATCAAACCTCATTTGGGGCAAGAAATAATCTTGCTTTAACTTGTTAGTATCGCAGGGGTCGGCGTGGTCGAGTCGGTAAAGCTCATGGTTGCTAAACCGAAAAGTCTCGAGTTCGAATCCTCGTGCAGACGAGGCTCGTTAGCTGGAGAGAAAACTCCAAAATCAAACAACAGCTGCCTTGTAGTTTGTTCTTGGTTGGACAAAGGCTATGGAAGCAAATCCAAAAAGAAAAGCATGCTGATAAGGCTCGATACCTCTCAACACTAAAAATTAAGAACGAAGAAAAAGAAGCAGTTTGTATCGCAAAAATGTTTGCCGAAAATAACGAAAAGAATAAACCGGGAGTGATCTCCCCTAAACTTTCTCGAATATTCTTATATAAAATAACAGGGGATGGGAACTCGGGCTATAGACATGATTTTTAATCCATTTTAAATACTTAAAGTTTTAAAAATAGAATAAAATCTCGTAGACAAATTAATTGCACACCAAGTGAACGCCCAATAAAAAAGCGCATAATAGTGCGCAATATTATTAGTACTTTTAAAATTTACATTAGTTTTTTGAGAAATCGGAAGTAGCGTAAATTACTACTTCCAGTGTACGGAAATTACTCAAAATTTAACAGAAGGTAGAGAATTAGATCTTTTACTTACATGTGAAATTTCATTTATCTATCTGAAATAGTACTCAAGTTATAGGCTTTTGAAAAATTCAAAGTAGGAAAAGTACCACTTCCGGTTATCGGAAATCGCTCAAAAGTTGATACGGATCTACGATTTTGATAAAATACTTATATGTGAAATTTCATCAACCTAGCTGTAACGGTACTCAAGTTATCGTGTTTACACACGGACACACAGACACACAGACACACAGACACACACACACAGACATACGGACAAGATTGCAAAATTATTTTTTTCCGTATCAGTGAGGTGTAAAACGTCGAGATCTGTAAAAATCTCGATTTTTTTTTTTTGCACGATTACAATACTTTCTCTATACTTCGTATATACGAGAAAGTAAAAATGACACCGACAAACTTTTTATGAGCCGGTCAAAGTATATGAACACTTAAGCTTCATTTTTGTAATGAATGCATTTGTTTTTTATTTATCATTATTATTATTATTTATTTTTGCAAAACCTCTATCTATGTGCATGAATTACATTATAAAAAACGCGTTGTACTTATGGTCGGATATTTGGCCTACCTAACATCCTGAGCCCCCTAAGCGGCTTACCCCCCCCCCCTCCCCTGCATTGCGGTGTCTGGCGACGTGGTAGCTCCGCCCCTGAAACTACCATGAGTGTGGTTATTACTAAAGGGAAACATATCTGTTGTCACTTTATACTGTTTTTATATTCGAGTTTTATTTCATAGAAGTGAAAATTTGCCATTTAAATTCCATTTATTATCAAATAATCTAACTCTTTCACACACAATAACACCGATACACATTATATAATTACTACAACACTATCTCAGACATACTTTTAATTACCTTAACACTATAACACACATATAAAAACATAGTATTTCCAATTAGAGTTTCTTCCAGGCATCTCTTCGGGGGGGCGAAGCCCCCCCCCCCCCGAAATTTTTTTACCGCCCCCCCCCCCCCCGAACGAAATGAAATTTATATAATTTATATAGAAAATATATACTTTTAACAGTGTCCGCCCCCCCGAAGAAAATTTACCGCCCCCCCCCCCCCGAAGATTTCAAGTGCCCCCCCCCCCCCCCGAAGAAAAAAGTCTGGAAGAAACACTGTTTCCAATATTACCATTAACTTCACAAACAGTTACACATGAGGTAATCACATAAACAATCTCTCAATATCACAACACTGTTACACACTTCCATTAACTTCCACACACATCCAATAACTTCAACACACAAAACCACATCCACATACAGGCACATAGAACCACTTTTTTCGATGTTATTACACCCACAAACATACACGCATGCGGTAATTACAAAAACAATCTCACTATGTGACATCTCCAACACTTAAATCACATATTGTACCCACATAATACTGTACAAATATCCGCCTTCGTTACCACGTGACCAAATCCGCAAACTGTCTGTGGTTATAAAAAGCTTTGATTAGTAACACGCGCATTCAGCTCCATCCAATCACCGGTAGTTTAACATCTGTCACCTGGCATCTTCACAGTCCCATCAGACGTCCGTTCGTGCAGGTTAGAGCAAGCCTTCAAGAAATCAAATTTTCAATTCCTGAGAAACATGTTGCTGCTAGTCTTCGTGTTTCTTCTTACAGTATCGTCGACAAAAGAAAAAACTCCTGAACAAGTCTTCGCAACTTTTGACAAGAATGGTGACACATTTCTCTCAAGGGTGGAATTAAAATCTACGTTTGCCGTGAGTTGTTCTAACCTTCTGTCTAAACATGACGGTCTATTAGTTTTAGGCCTTGTCAATATTTAACCATAGCTATCATTGTAGCTAACAATGTGCAGAAAAATATGACTAAATATATCATGCTTCACATTTTTTTATGTACTAACTTCCCGGCCAGGCCTTCACTGGCATCTCTGAAAAACTATCTGCAAAGGACCATGAATTGTGTGTTTAGTAATCAGCATATACTCGGCATTGCCCACCCTAGCCACAACCAACCAAAACACCAAAAACCGCAAACATAACACAAACACAAATACAAACACAAACGAAAACACAAAATCAAACGCAAAGACAAACCCAACCACAAACCCAACCGCAAACACCAAGAAAACACAAACACTAACGCAAACAAAAAAACCAAATTAAACACAAATTAAAACGCATACACAAACCCAACCACAACCAAACAAAACCAAAACACAAAAAAAAAAAAACTCAAACATAACACAAACACAAATACAAATGCAAACAAAGAAAACACAAAACGCAAACAAACGGAAAGTGCTCATATTCTAGCCCGGGGCACCAAATCGCACCATGCTGAGGCGCCGGCGGAACCGCTTGATTTAACTTCGTAAACGACTATAGTATCCCAACTTATTCGATTGTAGGAAAAAAAGTCACAGGAAAAAAAAAACACAGGAAAAAAAACACGGAAAAAAAGTCACAGGAAAAAAAGTCACAGGAAAAAAGTCACAGGAAAAAAAGTCACAAATATATATTTGCATGATATTTGTTAATACTTTTATGTATTAAATATTTAGAGAGTGCTAATTAACTTAGGATTAATTAAATGTTATGTAATGTGTGTAGGCTCTATAATTCATCTAAAAATATTTATTATGAAGTATGTAGATTATAATTATTTTAAACTTAAGATTAGTAGCATTTAATAGAATGCTCCAAAGTCCACGTTTTTCATAGTGTTTTTTTAAAATACTAATATTAAATTACCGTGAAATGATAAGTTCATCTGACTTGCTGCCCTCAACTCATGGCAACAATAGTTATGTTTAGTTCAACCACCTTTCTGTCCACATTTATCACGCTCATTACATAACAAAACTTAGGATCAAAACAGAAAGCCGACAAGGTTCAAAGGCTGTCATTGACGCATAACGTCAACAACACAAAATATATTCGGACAATGCCTCTTGAGGAGAGGCCGACCAGAGAATAGCCTACGGCAAAATGTGCCTAAATTTCATTTATAATTAACTTTTCTACCCCGTATTTAACTAAATACGTAACAAAAGTTGAGATAGTTGTGTTAATTATCTTAGAGTATTTTTACTTACAATTGTTATAAATCATAATGCTTTTAACGTCTATAAATAATTTATGCTATAAAAAATACAACCCACAACAATAAACAAACACAATTTTACAATTCTTAACAAATTAATAAAAATATTTCTATAACGATTTGTGTGACTTTTTTTCTCTGACTATTTCTGTGACTTTTTTCCCGATAAAATTTTTCCACTGTGACTTTTTTTCTGTGACTTTTTTTCCTAGCAAAAACTGTGACTTTTTTCTGTGGTTTTTTTTCCTGTGACTTTTTTTCCGTTCACCACTTATTCTTAGTCTTATGTTCTAACTTAAACGAACGTAGGCGCCATATCGAACAAGGGAAGGCCGGGACGCCAAAAAACACTCTGTCAGGGCACTGAAGGACGCCCGGATTCGGCTCAGTTAAAGACTATAGATAAAGGTAAACACAGTGGACATTTAGGAGCTTGCTTCTAAACTGTTATTGATTTTAAAAAAAAAATATTTGTGTTCATCAGATGGAAACTTTGAAGCTTTAAAACATAAACACAGCTCTTAAAAGAATTTTTTTCTTCGATCTTGCCTTTACAATCGAGAACGTAATAAAACTTTACACTGATAAATGTACTGCTAAAACGTCTGCTTAAAAAACAGTACGTTCAGTGCATGGAATAAATAAAAGACAGTATAAAAAATACCTTCAACATTGCACTTGATCAATCCCCGCTAACTATGTACATTTTTTTTTCAACACCATATATATCCTCTTGTAGTTTGGTGCATGTGTTATAAAAATGCTTACTGGTGCGACCGACAAAAATGAATTCCCCTTCGTGAGCAAAAAAAGACAGACAAAACGAATGCGCAAAAAAAGACGCCCGGATTTGATTCACTTAAAGACTATAGTAACCTTACTTATCCATAGTCTATCGCACTGTTTAAAACAAAATTACGCTCACATGATAGCCCACGGTGCCAAATCGAACCGTGCAGGGGCGCCGGCGGACGCGCCTATTTCAATTTAGTGAACACAATGATAATACTCCAAGCTTATCCGTAAATGGAAAGAAATAAACATATAGGATTTGTAGCACCTGGCTTATTAAATGTTATTGATTTTAAAAAATAATTATTGAACAGTATGTTCAGTGTATAGAATAAATAAAAGGCAGTATTAAAAATACCAACAACATTGCACAATTTAATCAATCCCCGCTAATTATGTAATTATTTTTTTTCTGTACACCAAAACAAAGTAATAAAAGTAAATTCTTTCTTCCCTCGATTTAATAATTTTTTTAAAGGGAAGGAACTGTGCACTCAATACATTTCAGACACAATTTTAGAAATTTTATAAACGTTGATACACTTTTTAAAAAATTTATGTAATGTTCATAATTGAAAATTATTATTTTAAGTACATAGAATAAAAATTGTTTTTAAAGACTTTCAATGGTAATTTTTAAACTCATAAATTTAGACTGTGAGCACGATAATAATCTAACACTTAAATCCATCGAAGTATCCACGATAAACAAATTTATGTTTACATACAGAATTGAGCTTTATATATTAGACTAGCCGTCCCGGCCAGGCCCTGCTCTGGCTTCTGTGAAAAACCTTTCTGTTAAAGACCATCACCTGTGTGTTAAGTAATCATCATAAACCCGGCATTGCCCACCCAAACCACAACCAACCAAAACCAAAACAACAAAACGCAAACATAACGCTAACACAATTACAAATACAAACGAAAACAAAAACCTAACAACAAACCCAACCACAACCACAAACACCAATACAAACACAAAGAAAAAACACAAAAAAGCAAACGAAAACAAAAACCTAACAACAAACCCAACCACAAACACCAATACCAACAAAAAAAAAAAAAAAACAACGAAAAAGCAAACGAAAACAAACCAAATCCAAACGCAAAACCAACCAAAAACACAAATACAAACCCAAAGAAAAAAACACAAACAAAAACGAAAAAAGAAAGAACAAAAACGAACCAAATCAAAACGCAACCACTAACGCAAACCCACCTAAACACAAAGAAAACACTAACGCGAACATAAACGCCCGGGGCGGAATCACCTGTTTTAGCTTAATGAACGACTATAGTACCCCAACTTATTCATAGTCTTTTGCACTCACTTAAACGAACGCGCCTGTTTCAATTTAATGAACAATTTTAATACTCCAAGCTTATCCGTAAAATACCTACAACATTTGCACTTGATCGATCCCCGCTAATTATGTAATTATTTTTTTTCCCAACACCAAAACAAAGTAATATAAAGTAAATTTTTTTCCACTAATGCAATGGTTTTATAAAGGGAAGTAATTGTGTTTTCCTAAGTTATCAAAGGGAATTAAGTGCTATAGGACTAAATAAAGACATAATTAGAATTTTTGTAAAAGATGATATTTTTTTAAAACTTGTGTTTAATGAACATGCCGACAATTATTACTATAATTTGAAAAATGAAAATTATTTCCCAACACTTTCAATAGTAATTTTTTAACTCATAAATTTAGACAAATGCGCGCGATAATTGTCTAACACTTAAATCCATCCAAGACCAACGACAAACATATGCGTTACATACAGAACTGAGCTTTATATATTAGATTTAATTAATGCTAACAAGAAAACTTTAACACAGACAACATCTTGTACGTTTTAATCGCACGCTGGTAATTGAAATATATAGATACTTGTAAAAAAATCAAACTCATCCAGTATATAACGCACAATTCCACATCAAACTCATCCAATATATAACGCACAATTCCACATCTACACCCACACGAACACGTGTACGTACATGTACGCGTACACTAACACTCACTCTTATATTCAAACACACACTGACTTAAACATGCACACGCACTACACTCACACTTAAACGTAAACGTACAATTGCACTTACACTAACACGCACTCACACTTACGTTCCCGGTAACGTAGACCCAAACGCCCACACATACTACTTGCAATTCCACATGCAAATCACTACCAGAATTTAGCCACGATCTAATACAGACTTCACTACTACCATATTTCTCCAGAAATACGACACCAACAGAGATCGGATTGTCACCAAATCCGAGTATGTCAACTTCGTTACTACGAACGAGCCTTGTGTCAACGGAGAAATTTTTTTTGCCGCTTTCGACTCCAACAACGACAACAAGTTAACCGACGACGACTATAACGCCATGTTCGACTCGATGAACGCAAACAGTGATACTGGGATCTCGATGAATGAGCATCAGCAGTATGTTTGTTTTACTGCCCTTCGTATATATGTTGTCTAAACAGCTGTCTTCCTGAGTGTTATATCAAACGTACATACATTTTTAAAATAAAATACATTTTAATATCAAGTTTTTCTAAAAGAGCGCATTTCTTTTAATATATTTAAATAGAGTTTTATTGATGTGTGTTTGAAGAAATCATTTATTTTTTTTTATTTTCTGTGCATCATTTCATAAAAGCTTGTATTTAATAAATTGTTTATTAATGTGGGGTTTTTTTATTGTTAGTGTCATTACCGCAAATTGTTGGAAATTTAATGACATCAGCTCATATTGTTAAAATATAATGCAAGCAGTTTTTGTTTTTAATGTGTAGGTATATGGAAACGATCGCCAGTACCCCAGGGGCCTTCAAACAATACTGTCCTGTCACAGAGTTTCACCAGGACATCGTGGCCGTACATCAGCTTTGATGTTGTCTAAACGATGTTTGAGGTTCAGCAAATAAACAAAAACAGACAAAATAAATGTGTTTGGTTTGAACTGTTTATTAAAGTGTATAAATTCAGTTAACAGTAAACAAGCAACTACATAGACAACAGTAAACATCATTTCTGGTAAGTATAAAGTTCCCATTTCCGACCTAACGATCCTTTGGGCAGATGTAATAGGGGAGCTGTCTGATTAAATGTGTAAGGTGTAATCAGTATGTAGCAGGTTAGACCAGGTAGCAAACATTTGGCACACAAGCCAGGTGTTCACAGATCGCATCTTCTTCTTCTTCTTCTTCGTTCTTAATTATTAGTGTTGAAGGGGATCGAGATTTATCTGCCAGTGGGTTTGAACTTGAGGACTTTGTTCGAATTATCAACCATGAGCTTATTTTTGCCGACTCGACCACGCCTCCGACACAATTAAGCGTTACGTGTCCACTGGTTATGCGCCATTGAGGCCATTGACTCCGATTTCAGCCTGCTTTTCTTTTTGGATTTGCTTCCATAGCCTTTGTCCAACCAAGAACAATCTACAAGGCAGCAGTTGTTTAATTTTGGAGTTGTCTCTCCTAGAAGAGTGGCTGTCCCCAGCTAACGGGCCTCATCTGCCCGAGGGTTCGAACTCGAGACTTTTCGGTTTAGCAACCATGAGCTTTACCGACTCGACCACGCCGACCCCATGATCGCATCTAATAGGGTCGCTACCTCACTCTACCTACGTCTTTATCTTACCCTAGTAACATCACATCTTGACAACGTCACTACCTCACACTAACAGCGTCACTTCTTTACCTTAACAACGTCACTACCTCACTCTAACAACTTCATTACCTCACCCTAACATCGTCACTACCTCACCTTAACTACCTAACTACCTCACCTTAACAACGTCGCTACCTCATTCTAAAAACGTCACTACCTCACTCTAACAACGTCATTATCCATTATCTCACCCTAACTTCAATACTTCACCTAAATAACCTCACTACCTCACATTAACAACGTCACTACTGAACCCTAAAAATGTCACTCACCCCCCCCCCCCCTGTTTTCACTGCTATACTACCCAATACATGTATCACCCGTAACTAAAGTTTAATGTCAACATTCTATTAAATAATGTAACCTCTATATCTTATAATCTCAGCATTATATCATATACTGCCAGCTATATGTCTATAATGTCAGCCTTATATCTTATAATGCAGTATCGTACGTTATTATACCTGACTCAAAAATACGGAATTGGTAGTAGAAACTGAACACGATAATTCCGAGATTTCGTTACCGAGTTTACAAAATTATTAATTTAAAGTCCACTTATTCATACATACATGATGTAAACAAATTAATGTGTTTTAACACATACATGATTAGCCAGGCGAATGTGTTTTAACACATGATGTAGACAAAGGAATGTGTTTTAACACATACATGATGCAGATAAAGGAATGTGTTTAAACACATACATGATGTAGACAAAGGAAAGTGTTTTATCACGTATATGATGTAAGCAAAGGAATTTGTTTAAATGGTAGGCTACTTCAAACAAACCATATGTATAGAGTATAGATATTATAATATATTATAATATATTATATTATAATATTGCGTTTTATTTTAAAAATAAATTAGACTTCTGAATAGGTCATATGACGAAAATACTTCTAACGTCAAATTATATATTTTGTGATTCTCGTGATACCAGTTATGGTCACGTCAACACAATTTGGAAAGCATCATACTTGTATGGCATCATAGCCATTTGCTTTATATATGTATATATATATATATATATATATATATATATATATATATATATATATATATATATATATATATATATATATATATATATATATATCACATCGTTTTTTTCGGGTGGGGTTGACACCATGAGGTACCGCAACGGGTGACACCCGACCTGGCGACGCCACAGGTCGTATATTTTTAGACGTGTGCCTTGTTTTCCAGATGTTTAATTAAATGTGAACAATATCGACATTTCATGTAAATACTATGCAAGTCAATTAAAATCTGCTGACCAATGCTGGCAAGTGTCTGACAAATGTGCTGAGGCTATATTTTTTTTTGCTAGGAAGTTCACAAACGATACATTTGTTTATTTGGTAGTTGCGAGGTTAAGAAGTGGGGGGATTACATCAATAGTACCGTATTTAGGATGGTCACTACTACTTTTCCCAAAGCTATAAAAAATTTGTTCAAGAGAGATAATTCAAATTATACAAGTTTACTATCAGATTTCTTGTAAAAGTAAAAACAAGTAAACGTATATAAAACCGAAGTTACTAGTACTATATTCTTTTTGATTATATGTAAGACGCGGGATAGTTCGGGATAAAAGTTCTACCAATATCACAAACACATATTTTACAATGAAAAATGTACAATGGATTTCGGACCCCCTACCAATGCCACAAAGAAGTACCTCACGAGCTAAGGACTTCTTCTTCGTTCTTAATTTTTAGTGTTTGAAGGGATCGAGACTTATCTGCCAGAGGGTTCGAACTCGAGACTTTTCGGTTTAGCAACCATGAGCTTTACCGTCTCGACCACGCCGACCCAAGCTAAGGATTGATTTGTTGTTGTTTTTTTCTTCCAAGGGATTTTGCCGGCGACAGCGTGTGCTAGATTGTAGGGGAAATAGAATTCTGACTTGGCAATGGTTAAGAAATACACTTATTTTTGTACTATTACAGTAGTTCTGCCTATACCCCATATACTTAAAAGTAAAATGTCACACACACACAAAAAGAAGAAAACTTTATTTTGTTGGATTTCTTTTTTAGTAATTTTTGAAGAATTTATTATTTATACGAATTATGCATATTTTCAACATGGTCCAAAAATTAATATCACTGCCCTTTCTAGAAAGAAACAATATTCAAAATCTTAAATTTCTACAATTTCTAAACAGAAAATTAATTTTTTTGCAAATGCAAATGTTCAGATTCTACGAAATAACAGTGACTGGTGCAAAAGGGTTTAACGTTTGAAGGAAATCTATCCAATTTTCTTGCTGGAGTTCTTTCTTTCCAATTAAAAGAGGTGCGACGGTGCCTGCAACTGAGAGAACAGTTTGAAGGATATCTCTCCAATCTTCTTGCTGAAGTTCTTTCTTTCCAATTAAAAGTGGTGCAACGGTGCCTGCAACTGAGAGAACAGTTTGAAGGATGTCTCTCCAATCTTCTTGCTGAAGTTCTTTCTTTCCAAGTAAAAGTGGTGCAACGGTGCCTGCAACTGAGAGAACAGTTTGAAGGATATCTCTCCAATCTTCTTGCTGAAGTTCTTTCTTTCCAATTAAAAGTGGTGCAACAGTGCCTGCAACTGAGAGAACAGTTTGAAGGATGTCTCTCCAATCTTCTTGCTGAAGCTCTTTCTTTCCAAGTAAAAGTGGTGCGACAGTGCCTGCAACTGAGAGAACAGTTTGAAGGATGTCTCTCCAATCTTCTTGCTGGAGTTCTTTCTTTCCAATTAAAAGTGGTGCGACAGTGCCTGCAACTGAGAGAACAGTTTGAAGGATGTCTCTCCAATCTTCTTGCTGGAGTTCTTTCTTTCCAAGTAAAAGTGGTGCGACAGTGCCTGCAACTGAGAGAACAGTTTGAAGGATGTCTCTCCAATCTTCTTGCTGGAGTTCT